GGCTAACAGGACTAAATACAAGCCACAGCTTCAGACAGGCACTGGCGGGCCACGGAGAACTCCCTGAGCAGGACAGACATGGCTGCTGCCTTCCTGGAGCTCGCAGTCGATTGGGAAAGACAACATGTGAGTAATTGGGCGAATGTAAATGAATGACAGTTGTAATGAGCCCCACGAAGTGCAGAGCAGCACCGGACTTCATACTGGGGAGGAGGAGGGAGGGTTGGGCATGACGTTGAAAACAAAATTTTTGTATCAAAACAAGCACAGATACAGGATGTAGAACACAAACTTTGCTTCCATTTTAAAGATAGAGCTGGAAAGAAGTGACATGCTTGGGGCATGACTACCCACCATGACCTGCCTGGTTAGGAATTTATGATCAGGTCAGCCTGGGAGGTTACTTTCCATAGGACCCATTTTCTGTCCACGATCCACTTTGCACATTTTGAATTAAAGGTACTTAAGAAATAGCAGGTGCAGAAAGGACACTGACCATCCTCTGTCCCTGGAAGCAGGCAGTAAGTCTCCTTATCGGCAGAGGTAGGGGACTCAGGGCCTAGAGAGCTATGTGAACGAACTGCTTAAATCCTTCACTAATTAAGCACCCAAGCCTAAGTTTCTTTGTCTTGTCAATTCCCCACAAATGTATGGTTTCTTGGCCTAAGAAGTATAAAAACTTCCTGCAAATAATGATGATGATAAAGCTGGAGACAGCGGAGAACCACCACATTTGCCTGAGGTGGGACTGGCTACGCCCCTGCCCGGGTCAGGGATGAGGCTTCCAGCTGCTGGGGGCAGAGGAGGAAAAGGTTGAGACGCCCTGGCGGGGGCACTGAGGGCTTGGGCCCTAGTGGTGAAGCCCTCTGAAGAAATGAGAAGAATGCCTACTGTCCAGCTGGAGGACAACCCGTGGTCTGATGACCCCAGATTGTCGGCCACCACCAATTTCACTGTTGTGTCCTTAGCCCCAGGCTGCTCCTCATGTTTTAAGTTGTTATCTTGTCTTCTCTCAAGGTGTTATGAAGCTCTCTGTGTTGGGACTCTGAGGCGCTGGGGGGCTCACACTTGAAGGAGAGGTTGGGTGGGGAGACAGGTAGCTACCTCACTCCCCTTTGCTGATGCACTCGCTTCATCTCTCTCTTCGGGCTATTGTCAACTCATGTGTCAATTACTGGTTTACGTCCATCCCTGGGACACAGCGGGCTCAAAGGCTGCAGCCATGTGCCATCAGCTGCCCCTCCCTATCCCGACCCCGCCCGGTGCCTTCAAATGTCTGACTAGATTGTGTGCGACATCTCTGAGGTATAGAGAAGGGTGCTCGGATTGCCATGGGGGAAGGAATTACTGACGTGAGAAAAAGAAATGGGGGTAGAGAGGGCGGGCTTCAGTTTCACCGAGCAGGAGGAATGGAAACACCTGGAAAGATCTCATCCCCTTACTCCCCAGGGTGGCACTGGTTGCAGGAGAATCTCTGAATCTCTGGGACCGGGGAAGCGCCACACAGAGGAACCCGAATGTTGCAGGGGCTCGCCTCACAACTCATGAGCCCTGGAATTCTGAACATCGCCAAACCTATAAAGGCCCTAAATGACACATACTAAGAGACGACTGAAAAATTAAAATAACCCCTTAAAAACCTTAATGATGTCTTACTACAGGGCTCCAGTTATGTATAAGGAAGTTTCGGGCTCTTAGATCCCTCGACACACATCGCTAGCTGCCATCTTGCTGTCGGAACACTTTCTCACAGCTCAGAGGGTTTTTACCTTTGTGACAATGATTACAGTGGGCAGAGAACACCTGTGTGATGCACGGATGCTGGTTACTAACATCATGGTGCCTGAGTTCCGCACTCCTGTGTACGAGCTCCACCCCAAAGTGTGATGCCTTACAATACAGAACACATTTGGAAAACACTGAGATTTTAATATATGGTGCATTTCAAACCAGAGAAAGTAGGAAATATTCCATAAATGGTATTGGCTGAATTGCTGCCAGTCTGGATCCCAGGTAAGGTAAGCTCCCTCTACCTCACCACACACCTTAGCCAATAGCTAATTCCTCATGAGTAGAGAACTAAACACAAAACAAAACTAACACCTACATACATAGAAGAATTTTGTAGAAATAATCCTGAGATGGAGAAACTCTCTTGAAGCAAGACTCCAAATCCAAAAACTTTAAACAAAGTAACTGACACATTCGATTACATGAACATGGCAAATCTCACAACTAAAAAGATGCATGAACAAAATTAAAAACAATAGTATGGCCATTAGGGAGAACAATATGGAGGTGCCTCAAAAAATTAAAACTAGAACTAGCATATCTACTTCTGTGTATACATCTTAATGAGATGAAATTACTGTTTCTGAGAGAGGGCTGCACTCCCATGTTCCTTGCAGTGTTATTCACGGTAACCATGGTAACAACCTAAGTGTCCATCTGCAGGTGAAAAACAAAGGAAATGTGGTCATGTGTACAATGAAATATTACTCAGCCATAAAAAGGAGGACATATTCCTAGTTATGAAAACACAAGTGAATTTTGAGGGCATGCATAGTGCTAAGTGAAATAAGTCAGAGAGAGAAAAACAAATACTGTCTGTTACACTTTGATGTGGAATCTCAAAAAGTCAAATTGAGAAACAGACAATAGAATGGTGGTGGCCAGAGGCTGGGGATTTGGGACAGGGGGAGATGGTGGCCAAAGGGTACACATTTCCTGTTCTAAGATGAGTAAGTTCTGGGGATCTAATGCACAGCTATGGTCAACAATACTGCATTGTAGGCTTAAAAGTGGCTAAGAGAGTAGCTCTTAAATGTCCTCATTGCTCACACACACACACACACACACACACACAATGATTATGTGAGATGGTAGATATGTTAACTAGCCTTATTGTAATGATCATTTTGAAATATATACATATATCAATCATCACATTGTAAATCTTACACTTGCACAATGTTGCATGTCAGTCACATCTCCATAAAGCTGGGGGAAAAGCCAAAAAACAAAAGGGCCAGACCAGAAGCACATAGAGCTACACCTTCCACGCTGCCCCCCAGGCACAGGGTGCTCAGTGGAACTCCTCGATCCTCTAACGCTCGGACTTCACGGAGTGGACCTATCTCTCCAACAGAGCGTGTTTGGGGCCATGATTATATGGAAAAATTTATTTGTGCATCCCTGAACCTCAGTGAATCATTTTTTTAAAGTAGCATTTGTATGAAAGGGCAGAAGTTCTCCAGTAACTTTCCAACTATAATGCAGGGATGTCAGAATTATGTGCAGATGTTCTGAAAAGCACAAAATGTCAACAAAGTAACGCGTGTTGAATGTTGATGATGCTCACGTTCACTGTTCAGTCATTGGGAAGCAATGTTTTGTGTATCTGACACACCTGAGGGATTTGTTACATATATAAATGTTTTTCTGTGTTTTAGGAAGTTGATTGGTAGTGATGGATTGACAGGAAAGGGGCTGCTGGTTTACATTTTAACTCAGTGTCTGGTTTTTGGGAAGGTTCCTGAAGGTAAAAGAGAGATGTTTGTATTCACAACCAGGAATACAGACAAAAGATTAATGTTGAGGGGAAAAAATATGGAATAGCTCATTCAAATGTGGAAGAAAAAAAAACAACCACTGGGGACTAGGGGAAGAATGGAAACAGACAATCCACACACAGCTAGTTGTGAAACTGCCAATAAATACAAACAATACCCAAACTCACTAATACAAAGAAAATGTACTAAGTACATACAAAACAATGAACTACTGTTTTAAAAAATTCACCAGATAGATGAAAAAGTTTGATAATATTAAGAGTTGTTGAGGATTGAGGAAATTAGGCAATTTAGGAAATGATGGCTGTGTGTATTTTTTTAAGGAAATTGGCAGTATCTATTAAAATCATAATGTACATATGCTCTACTTTAATTTACTTTTATAAACCTATTATTCAGAAATATATAGGGACTCAAAAATACGTGCATCCAAGGATAAATATCATGGCATTGTTTGTAATCACAAGAAAATTTTGAGAAGATACAAAAGTATACCAAGAATTAAAATATATTATGGCATAAAATGACATGTAGTTGGTAGAAGGACTGGAATAGACTTAAATATATTGATATGGAAAGGTCTTCAAGGCATTTTAAGTGGACAAAGTTGCAGAACAATAGATACAATATTCCCCATTTGTGTGTATGTATACATATATATGAAAATGAGGTCTATTCCAAAAAAGCCCAGCCATTGTTAACATAAAGAGAATGGTTTACCCAACATTGATGTAACCTGGCAGCCAAGGAGAGTGGACCGGAATGCCCATGTGTGAACAATGACAACTTCACTGCACTAGTCAGTGGGGGCGGTAGACGGTGTTGAGTGAGCATGTGAACTATGTGGCCAACACATTCAAAATGACTGGGTGAGTAGAGAAACAAGTTGGCATCAAATTTTGCATTCAGCTTGAACATCCCTCCATGGAAACCATTCAGATGATTCAGAAAGTTGCAGCTATGGGCAACTGGTGATCGGCAGCTTCATCATGACAATGCTCACAGGTCATGTCTCATGCAGAGTTTTTTTGCAAACCATCAAATCATGCAGCTGACTCAGCCCCTCTACAGCACAGATTTGGCGCCCTGAAACTTCTGGCTTTTCCCAAAACTAAAATCACCTTCAAAAAGGAAGAGATTTCAGACCGTCAGTGAGATTCCGGAAAACACAATGTGGCAGCTGATGGCGACTGGGAGAACTGTGTGAGGCCCCAAGGTGCCTCTTTGAAGGGGACTGAGGCATTATTGTCTTATGTACAATGCTTCCTATATTTTCTTCAATACATATCTCTATTTTTTATATTACATGCCTAGATACCTTCTGGACAGATCTCGCATGTATTTGGTATTTATATACATGTAAATATTGAATACATATGTATTTAGGGAAGTACATAAGAAAGGAGACTGAACTGTTGAGAGCATTACCTTGGGAGAGAAGACATCAGAGGAGGAAGTAGCGAAGACAAGTTCTCGATCACCAAATGTTCCAGTTTCTTTCTTGCATTGCTCCTCTTCCTCTCTGTGTGAAGATATATTCCCATGCTCTAGAGCTCAGGAATGGTCGCACGACTTGCTTTCACCAAAAAGAGTGATGTGGGCTGCTTTTGTGCAGAGGGTTAGAAGTCAGGACATCGTTCGCCTTGTCTCTTTCTCTCTCCCATGAAACTAACAATGTTCCAGTTAGAGGTTGGGTTTTCCCATCAGCTTTGGTTCTGGAGTAAGAAAGGCAAGAAGCAGAGCTATAGCCAACTTGTGAAAAATGTGTAGGGTGAACAAGGAATAAACACTTGTTGCTATAAGCCGCTGAGATGCGGGGGTGTGTTTGTCACTCTGGTGTAACGTGGCCTACCCCGACTGGCACAAAGAAAGCAAGGTGTCTCCAGGTTTTCTTCTGTCTGTTTCTCTGTTACATGAGCACCTGCCAATACCATACACCAATGTATTACTTATGTAATAAACTTACTTTAAAAATTGTGATCTTAAAATTATAAATGACTATATTTTAAGGGCCTTTGAAGCTGTTGACAAATAGAAACTGCAAGGCTAAATTCTGGGACTCCAAGGGCAACATCGATGTGCCTGTCTGAGACCTGCAGGCCGATACACCATGGCTGCCACCTGTAGTGCCAAAAAAGGTGAAAGGTGTGTCGTCAAACCAGGGACCAAGAAATATGGTGGTTAATCACACGCGTTAGAAATCTCCTGCACCTTAGTGGAGGAGGTGAGGACAGCAAACGTGCTACCCGCTGCGCCCCAGAGTGAGGGGCATTCTAACCAACACTGGACCACAGGGGCTGCTTTTAAAGATTTTGGGAGACACTGTTCTTCAGTAGTGAGGATTGCATTGTACTTCATGCTGATGCATAGTTGTCTGAATATGTCGGTCCCTTCTGATGTGTCTAGAATGCAAAAAAATTGAGAATGACTGGCCCCAGGAAATAGAGCAGGTAACTGCCTGTGGACTCCGATTTCTGCTGCCACTGACTCCAATTCCAGACTCTCAACACTGACTCACTGATTAAGCACCTGCTCTGTATCAGGCACCGGGATTGCCATCAGCGATCCGGATGCAAAACTCAGACTCAAAGCGTAGATCAATAATACATTCCTAGAGGCAGGGTGAAAGCTATAGCAGTAGAAGCCCTTTCTTTGTGGTTGGGGAGGGGTAACAGTTTCCCAGAATTATACCAGGTCTATAATTTCTAATTCTCTAAAAAGACTCTACGAGCCCATTGTGATCACCTCTACCTTTGTTGTACAAGGACACTGAGGTTGAGTCAGTCTCCAGTTCTTTTTGTTGTACATACCCACTCACCTCCTCTGCAAAGGGATGAATAAATAATAGCCTTGAGCGGGGAGTGAATAAGCCTTGAATCAGACTTTAACCTCCAGAGCAGGGTGCACAGGTCCAGCTTTTGGTTTATGTTGTGCCCAGAGTATGCCACAGAAGCCACTCAGGGGCCAGCCTGATGACCTGACTTGGGTTAGCTCTGGCTGGCATTCCTCCTAGTTTTGCCCCCAAGCCCTCCTTCTGCTAGTGCTGAAAATAAACATCTGACTTGCTGGAGGGAGGAGGGTGGGGCGAGGAAAAGTCCTCACAATAGGTCTGCTGTTAGGCAAAAGCATTCTCAAAGAAGCAGATTTAGGTTGTGGTGATTCAGAAGGCGCCAAGCCCCTTCTGTGACTGAAGTGGCTGGGGAATAGATCACGTATTTACTATGAGCTCAGTGCTCTAACATTTATCCTGGTTTAAGCCCTCAGCACAGGGAAATATCCTAGGACAGGGGTCCCCAACTTCTGGGCCAAGGACTGGTACCCCCTCCAGGCCTGTTAAGACCCCACCCCCCATGCGCAGCAGATGAGCTTGAATGTAATGCACTTGAATCATCCTGAAACCATGCCCCAACCCCATCCTACCTACCTCCCACTCCTGCCCCTATCCGTGGAAAAAATGTCTTCCATGAAACTGGTCCCTGGTATCAAAAATACTGGGGACCACTGCCCTAAGAATTCCAACTCAGATCTGTCCTTGGTTACTTAATGGAGTTTACCCTGAATGAGGTATAGCAGGGCTCCCAGCCCCAGGCCCTTTTCCCACTCTGCAGGTGAGCCAAGAACAGTGAACAGAGGAGGTTCACCAAAAGAGCCTGGAAGGTCCCAAGTAAGAGACACTGGAGGCGGTCTCCTTTCCCGGGCTCTGCTCCAGTGCTTCTGGGCTGGGGTCCCAAGGCACAGCCAGCCTTTGTGCCTAAAGACTGTCACACACCGGCAGGCACTCACGACAGAGCCAGGGATTTTTAACCAGATGAGCGATTCGGGACAACCTACAGAATGGTGGTGAACTGGAATGCAATGACTGGCTCACTGCTACGTTGTGGATGGCAGTAGGGGAAAAGGAGGTTCACAAAATTCCCTCAACAGCCCTGGTGATACAATGACAAATGGAGAGAGAGAGAGATGAACAGGGTATGAGGAGACCCGCAGGGAACCCTTCTCCTTGGGATATGAGAAAACTGCACTAACATGTTGATGGAATCACCAGTGGCCAAGGTTTCATCAGAGTTATGCTTCAATAAAAAGGAACAGAACTCCTATTAGGGTCCACTTTTATCTTCAGAGTGTTATAAAGCACTGTAGACCTTTATGGCTGGAATCATCAAGGCTCAGAAGGTGTCACTTGACATTATCTGTAATACTCACCTGCACCGTTTAGGAGAAATTTTGTGCCCTTGTGAAGTTGGCAGTTGGGGCTCCAAAACATGGTGGTGTAGTGTTTTTGACCAGCTGTCTCCTTAAACTGTGTGTGTGCCTTGAGAAAGAAAGTGACTTCTATTTCTTTTAATCCTTACCCAAGGATATGTTTTATTAACTTCAGAGAGAGAGGAAGGGAGAGAGGAAGAGAAGGAGAGAAACAGCAACGCTTGCCTCCTGTACCTGCCCTGACTGGAAATCAAACCCACAATCTAGGTATGTGCTCTGACAGGGGATCGAACCACCAACGTCCTGGTGCACAGGACAGTGCTCCAACCAACTGAGCCACCCAGTCCGGGTGAGAAAAAAATAGCTTGAAAAAAATCTTTGTTTCCTCTGTACCTAGAAGGACTTGAAGCAGAATGAAGTGTGGTGTGCAAAATATCAGGTGGCTCTCACCTGCAGGGTCATGCAAAGGAGCACCTCCCTCAGTTTTGTCCCCTGGGTTCCTCACCGGGCACACCCTAGTTCTGGCCCCGGAGGTGAAGCACAGTGCCAAGAGGTGATGAGGAGCCAGTTGCCGGGCGGATAAACAAATGAGGTGTACAGGGAAGGACATGCTCATTGGAAAACTCTTGACACTGGATGTTTTGCAGCTGTTGGACAGCCTGCTTGCCAGAAGGTTCATGCTGACATAGATGAATGGGACCTTTTATAGTGGAATTGTGTTAGCTGGGGCCGCTATAACAAAATACCACACAATGGTGGCTTAAACAACAGACCTTTTTTTTTTCTTGTTTAACAGTTTTGGAGGCTGGAAAAATCCAAGATCAAGGTGCTGGCTGGTTTAGTTTTTGGTGAGAACCCTCCTACTGGCTTGAAGACCATATCACACTATGGAGAGAGAGCCCTGGGCTCTTCTTCGCCTTACACAGACACCAATCCCAGCATGGGGGCCCCACCCTCATGACCTCATCTGAACCTAATCACCTCTCAAAGGCCCCACCCCCAAATACCATCACACTGGGGCAGGACTTCCACGTAGGAATTTTAGTGAGACAGAAATACCCAGCCCACGCCAGAAGTGTATTACGGTTACATGTTTTAGGTCTCATCTTTTGTAAGAAGTCTGATCACTGAAGTAGACAAAAAATCCAGGATGGTGCCAAGGTTCCTGGGGTGCACACCCTGTGTGATCCCCTCCCTTGAGGTGGGAGGGCCTGACCCAACCAGGTGAGCCCTTTAAAAGAGAGTCAAAAGGTCAGAGATGGAAAAAGTTGGAGAGGTTGGTTGGAGGCAGGAGAGGTTCCTGGGGCCTTGAAGGAGCCAACAGGTCCGTGGTGGGAGGGGCTAAGAGCAGTCCCGGGCAATGCTCCACAAGAAAGTGGAGACCTCAGTCCCACAATCAGTCACAAGCAGCTAAATCCTGTCCAAAGCCACGGGAGCTTGGAAGAGGACCCCACGTTTCAGATGGGGCTTCAGCCCAGCCAACCCCTTGACTTCAGCCTTGTGAGACCCTGAGCAGAGACTTATGGAAATTGATTTGTGTTGTCTTAACCCACTTTTTTATACTGCACAGAAAACTAATAAAATCTCCTTTCCACAACAGATCAGACCACATCACCTGGGTCCTTTTATTTAAAACACCTTCTATTTGGCTGTTGATTGCATTTTTCTTTTGTATGAATACATGACCTCCTTTCTTCTTTCTGTGTTTGTCGGTTCCTTGGGGAATGTGCATGGTAATGCAAAGCTACTCTGCCCACATTGTTATTTTAACACTATTTAACACAAAGCCATATCCTCTTATCCCCCAACCTCCACAGATCATCTCCAGGGCACATACGCTGGTGAGGCTACTGTTTTCCTCCTTCCTGGCTGGTGCTCAGGGCTTCCCAAGCTTAGCCCTGCATTCACAACATAGCAGTTAGACAGTCCAAACAAACCGCCACCAGGCTTCTCAATAGGGCGACAGCAGAAATCTCTCCTGGCTTGATGAAGAGCCTCTCCAAATACCTCCTACCTCCAGCCATTTTCTGGCCTATAGAATGGAAAGTCTGAGAATGGCTCTGCAGGTATTTCCGGACATCACAGGAACGCACCCCTGCCCTGGTTGACGCCGGGGTGCAAGTTGGGAGGGAAGCCAGAGCTCTGGGTTTGCAGGCAGCCTCTCGAGGACATGTGCCTGTGTGTGACCTGCTCTCAGGGGAGAGAATGAAAAAAGGCACAGAAGTGGAGCCTCCTGAGGCTGGCACCACGGTATGGGGCTCAGTGGCAGAGGGGCCCTCCCTTCGCTCCCTTTTCTGACGGACGGGACCATTAGCAGTTGCATTCACCCAGAGGACTCTTGGTTGCATTAAGGACCCACTCAGTCTGGTTTAAGAATACTGTTTCTTGGCTTGGATAATTGGTTCCCTTTGACCCACCCTGTGTTGGTTCTGGCCCCACCAACTCCCCACACAGTGCCCCTCACCTCCCCCATCTCCCACCCCAAATCTCCAGACTTGCCCCATTGGGAAAG